TCAGAAGGTCCCACAAGCCTATACTTAGTTTAATTAGAACAATGCTCACCAGAGTTGAGTGACTTGTGCTCCTTAGATGAGGCATGGGTTTCTGAATGTCTTAAAGTCCTCCCCCAAATTACATACACAGTTATATACACTAAGGCCAACTGCAGCTGAACTCTTTCATCATGCTTATACTGTTGCTTTTATTATTATTTAGAAATATTTCTACAAAATATATCTTTGAACATACCAAATGAGCAGCCTCAGTTCTTTAGTCTTCCTGGTATCCACCCCTTCCCTAAGCAGAGTGAGTTCTCCAATTCTTGATCCAACCATATGTCTTGCTTTGACCAATGAACTGAGGTGGAACAAACACCATCAGGTCAAGATGAGGCCTAGTTCTCAAATGACTTCTCCAAGTTCATTTGCTTTCCTCTGTCTCTACTGCTGTCAGAGACCAGCTTTCCTGGTTACTGACATTTGAGCTTCAGCATGAACACACATGGAACAGCTGCCACTACAAATGTGCAATTGAGTAGGACAGAGGCTCAGCAAAGCATACCCTGGAGCAGCAAAGACACTTAGACAACATGTAAATATAGTCCAATAAGCTATAAGCCCCAAGTCTGGAGATGATTGTTACAAGGCAATTACTAACTGATACATCTCTACCAAAAATATGAGAAACTCTGAAGGAACCAGGAGTTATCATTTCTCCCCTAATATACAGACCCATGTCTTACATTTGTTACTAACCTAGACTCTGAAAGCAGTTGCCATTCCTGCCATGAAATTACAATAAGAAATAAAGACATACATTACATCTAGTTTTGTTTTCATCTAAAGCTAAATGCTGTGACCCTTTAACACAGTTCATCATGTTGTGGTGACCCACAACCATAAAATTATTTTCACTGCTACTTCATAACTGTAGTTTTGTGACTGTTATGAATTGTCATGTAAATAAGTGATATGCAGGATATCTGATATGTGATGCTTGTGAAAGGGTCATTCCACCTCAAAGGGATCATGGCCCATAGGTTGAGAACCACTGACTTAGATGCTACAATTTTTACCTATTATCATTGTATCCTGTAGGGAGCAGAGGAAGCGCTCCTAATGAGTGAAGTCCTGAGTCAATGTGTATTGCTGACATAGGCACATCCATGTGAAGGATTCAATAGCCTCAGGTTCAGAGGGATGACAAAGTCTTCCTCTAGAGACCAAATGTGAGTGTTGACAGTATGTACAGAAAATGTTCACCATAATGTTATCCTCCTGAATATTATTTCCTGGGGACTCTTGCTGAGATTAACTAAACCTGTCTCCTTGATCCAACTATGTGCCATAAGCCCTGCCTCCTAGTTTATCTGTATTTAACCCCACCTCCTTGTCCAGCTGTATGCAATGATTCTGTCACCCTATTCAACTCTATGTAGTAAGCACACTAAGCTTCCTGGATGATGCGATTTCTCCAGAAGGGAGCCCACGTCACCTATTCCCAGCTATCTGTCCATGTGTCCATCTGTCTGTCTTCATTAATTTGATACTTCAGTTAGATCCAACCCTAGAGCCATTCTGACAAAGCAGTGTCCTTGTGTGAACAATAAACAAATGGTAACTCTTTAACTTTGTCATTTATTTTTATTTATCTCTTTTAGTTCAGCATATTCTCTGTCTGTAGGTCTTTGTCTGTCTCTGTCTCTCTCTCTCTCTCTCTGTGTGTGTGTGTGTGTGTGTGTGTGTGTGTGTGTGTGTGTGTGTTTGTGTGCTTTCCCCTTCTTCCTTTCTCTGGTCTAACAGAATGTCACTATGTAGACCAGTCTGGGGACTTGTGGTCTTCCTGTCTGTGTCCTAGTGCTAGGATTGCAATTGTACCTGCCCCTCAAGCCTGGATTTGGCCTCTTATTTGGAGCCTTTTCCAGAAACTATTACTATTAGAGCAATGTGTTCCTAATCTACTTCTAGATACCACATCTAGTTGGTTTGGTAAAATCAAGGCATCAGTCATCACAAACCACCAGTACAGAACAAATCAAATTAGCCAGTGCCAAGCTTTCAACCACACCCTAACCAACCAAACAAACCAAACCCTGGCTGACACTTAAAGACTAACATATGGACAGAAAGTACTTAAAAGAACACTAATATTAAAAATGAAGAGCATCTAGAAAATTCTGTTCTCAGAAGGCAGCAATTACTGCATCTCAGCACATCTGCTGAACAATTCAGGCGAGGGGGAGATTCACTCCCTATTAACCTCAACCAGAGACACTTCCATCTAAATTAATTGTGACTACTTTTTATTGCATTTCAAATGTTATCCTTTATTTGGGGTGGTCAGGAATGCAACTGAGCAATTCCAGACCATGTTATCTTTTATGAACTGGTCTACGAGGTAGTTATCAAGGCCCCTTAAGAAAATACTGCTATGCAAAAGTTCATGGGCCAAAACAAGACATTAATTTCCATAACTAGATGTGTCCTAAGAAAAGAACAAATTGCTACACAGAGAAAAGACAAAAATGTTGATGCTCAGTGCAAACCAGAGCACAACTATAAATACCCTGCACATAGCATACAACTATTTTCTTTATTATATGTGTTTGCATGTGCCTGTGCATGCATGTGCACACATGGCATGACAACCTACAGAAGTTGGTAATTTTGTCCCCTATGTGGGTTTCAGTCAGACTCAGCATCAAGTGCACTTACCCTCTGAACCATCCCTCTGGCCCCAGGCAAGTGTTTTTTAAAGGATTTCTCATCTTTTCTTATTATTTTAAAAACAGTCAATTATCAGCATTTGTTCTGAGCACAGCCTGTGCCTGGAATGACTCTGAGCTCTTTCTAAGCTCCAACTCAACCCTAACGGAGCTCTAATGCAGAAGTTATCATTCCTGCTTTTCAGATGAGAAGACCAAGGCTTTGGGAAGGCAAGTGGTCCTTCCAGGAATCCCCAGGGGGTTATAACAGTTCAAATACCATATATGAAAATAAAATTATTTTCCACAAATCTCTTTAGTTAATAGGACTCATTTCTATCCTGTGTGTTGTCACCTGCTCCCCCTTTTTGTTGAGGGATCTAAGTGGGACTCAGCATTTCTCCTGGTCTCCAGGTAAATCAATGACCTGATCGTGGCCTGCCAACATGCATGTCCTCTTGTTGAATGTTTGCTATGACTACTAGAAAGCCACTGTTCTCCTTCTAAGGGACTATGTTCCATGAAGACAGACTGGCTTCTGGCCATCACCTACATAGGGACTTCCTAACAGTGAAGCCAAGGGTTTCAGGTGGATGGAAGAGGAGAGTAAAGCATTCCTGCAAGATGATGGAAGCAAAAAGCAAAGCATCTCTACAGGGAATGGAAGCAGAGAGCAAAGTGTCCATGCAGGAAGATGGAAATGGATTGCAAAGCATCCCTAAAGCAGAATTGAAGGAGAAAGCAAAGTATCTATGCAGGAACATGGAAATGGAGGGCAAAGCATCCCCCTGACAGGAGGATGGAAGCAGAGAACACAGCATCCCTGCAGGAGAATGGAAGCAGAGTTTGACTCTTCACAGTTCATTTAACCAAAAGTCTCCCTTTTTTCTTAGTTAAAATAAAGTTGTGCTCCTGTGATTCACACTTAAGAGCCCTGTAGCTTGAGTAGCATGCAGTGTAAATGGGATAATAGCTAATATACAGAAGGTACCACAGACTGGAATACTGAAATGGTCAATGAAAGGCACACATCACAGCCATGTCCTCTACATTCTTTTGTGGAAGAAAGAGGACCTGGAGTCCTTCAGAATCTTTCTGTGACTTCCAGTTACAACATGTGTGATATTAGCAACATTGCTGAGAGGCATAAATGTTGTGAGCAATAAAAATATAACTTATTTTTAGAAAACTAAGATGTTTTTCAAATTTTAGTAACTATCTCATTCTTTAGACTTTGAACTAACATCTGTGACAGAAAAACCTAAAATCCCAATTCTTGGACATGACCTGTCAAAAGTACTGGCACAATTCAGCTAGCAGCCGTACTAAGGTAGGCCCAGAAGCCAAGAAGACCCAGAGCTACTTGTGCTCTCAAGTCCAGACCAAGCATCTGTGCAAAGGACACTTGATTATAACCACCAAGGGATGCCTAGGACACAGAGACAAAATAACTAATAGGAACTGAGAAACCTCCCTCGGGGATGTGATGCAGATTTTCTTCGTTTTCCTTCTTTGGAATAATTATTCATTTCTCTTTTGGCCAATTAAAAGGATGACCATGAGTACACACTAAAATTATCTACTTCTATCTCCAAGGAGGAAACTAATATATAACTGCAGAAAGACACTAACTAATAAGCAGAATTTAACATGAACTCAGGCCAAGTTGAACTCAAATTGCTCTGCTTAAAGACAGGACTGGAGTAAATAAAAGCACTTCAAAGCCAATGTTCTGATTCAGCTTGAATGTTTTATTGAGCACACGGGGAGAGCTCTGTTCCAACGCAGGGATGGTTAATGAGAAGTTGGTGTTTTGGTCCATCAGTTGCTTTCTGAGACAAGAATATCACTGAGAGATACCACTATATTCACTGAGAAGACAGAATAATGATCTACCTTGGAGCCTTAGTTTTTGTAAACTGAGATCAGAGGAATGCACCCAAATGCCTTTTGTGATAATGACATGGGTTCCCTTCCACCAACCTCTACACAACTTAAACACAATTCTAAATAAACTCTACTTGCCAACCATGTAATTGCAGCCCTTACCTTTTAAGGCGAGGTACAGGAAGGAATAGACTCTGGGTAGCATTTCCAGCATTTTCCAAATTCAACTCTTCTTGAACATCATTCTGGAATTGGTGTTCTCTACTAAGAAAGACTTACTGAATTCCCTGAGAATACCCTGTTAGCACGAACTCCAGGCAAAGGAAAGCCCACCATTGCTGTGCATATATTCCTGCAGTGTTGGTTGTGGCAGACAGTCTGTCTCTGAACATTTAGATATTAAGAAGCCAAACGTGGACTTACCTGCAAATGCTGTGAGTTGTCAGCCATGCTATCTTCTCGCCGGCGGACTTCTTCTAATAACTGGGCATTCTTCTTCTTCTCCAGCTGTTGGTTGTGCTTGAGGTTAGCCACCTTCTTATTCTGGTCTTTCATATGCCTGAGAAAAGCCAGCACAGCACAGTTACATTCAACCACAGGGAAGGCATGGGCTGTCACAACAGATTCAATAAGAACGGAATGCAAAATATCCTGCACAGGCTTAGGAAAAGAAGGGGTTCTGAGAATCATACATCCATTCAAACACAAGATTGTGGGTGCTGAGCACCCACGAATGGCAGGTGTAGGGATGCCATGGGAGTGTCAACTGTGAATGAGACAGGCATAGTTTTCATTCTTAAGGAGCAGAAAGGTCAGAGGGAAGACAAACACTAAAGAGATACAATTTGGGTTTCCTAAAGCTGTAGGAAGTAAACAGCATGCCAGGAGAGGTGGTGCCGGGCATACATGGACAGACAGTGGTTGGAAGGAAATGATTTACACACTGTAGGCAGGGAAAGGTTTCCAAAGCAGATCAAAAAAGTCACCCATCAGGAGCACCCCAGGCAGAAGCTCTCCCACAGGGAAGCTCCCTGGGGTAGAAAGACACAGGTGGTACAAGACAGAAGAAACTTGACTTCAGGGAAACAGAGAGCTACTTGACCCTCCCACTGGAAGCTAAGTGAGAAAAGAGCTAGGGCTCCGAAGACTAGTGGGCAGGCACATAGCATCCAGTGGTCTGTGATGCAGCTTTTCTTTTCTTCTAAGAAGTTGCTGTTCTCATTATTATTGTTCTTTGGGATCCTGTTCTTTTTCTAAATTCATAACCCATTACTTTGATTTATAAAATAACAACCTTGAGTTTCTGATCAAATACAATGTTAACACATAGCTCAAATTCCAGATCCATGCATTATTTGAAGTTTTTCTGTATTTCAAATGAGAGGCTAAGAAAAATGAAGATAGGAAGTTCTGTGGCTGTGGTGCAGGACTGTCTTCAGCATTTTCAGCTATTTCCTCAAACACACTGGTGTACTGAAAATACAGAGTTGACAAAAGAAAAATTGAATTTTCGGCAGTGAAATTTAGGATATGGGCCAATCAGATAGGATGGAGCGAGGTGATAAGAATGGATGGCTGGTGTTCATGTGACTATCACCAGCCACAAACCCAATGTATGCCTACTAGGTTTCTTTCCCATCTTCCCCAGCTGCAGACCACAACCAAGCAGAATAAATCAAGGTGCTGAACCCAATACAGCCTTCCACTGTCTCTAACCTTGCAAGGCAGGTTCTGCAGGGGTGTAGACTCTACACTCTCTAAATTCTCTGAGGAAAATGCCATTTGTGTCTCTTTTCTGACTCCCACCCACTGAGCAACCCTACAATTCCAGGGGCTAACTTAAGGAGCTTTGTTCTCAAAAAAAAAAAAAAAAAAAAAAAAAAAGCCATTCAAAATGTATCTAAGAGTTAAAACTAAAAGTAAAGAGACCGGAGAGGCAGCTCAGTGGTAAAGAGTTCTTGCTGTGAAATCATAAAGACTGGAGTTCAGACCCCAGCACTCACATAACAAGCTAGGCATCCCACACACACCTATAACTCTAACTCCAATGGGGCAGTGGAGACGGGGATTGCTAGAGCTTGCTAGCTTCCAATCTAGTCAAGAAAATGCCAGCACCAGGTTCAGGGAAAGAGAATAGGCAGAAAGTGATACATGAGGATCACTTGGACTTAACCTCTCTCCTGGCCTTACACACACACACACACACACACAAAAAAAAAAAAAAAAAAAAACCACAAACACACAAATGCAGAAGCTCACAAAAGCTCTTGTACACAAACATAGTACAGTCATGAAAACAATTTTGCCAAACTATAGAAATGGAAATTTGAAAACTTTCACTTGTCCATTAGAAGGAAATTGATTAAAGAAATGAGTACATTAACAGTATGAGGATCAGGCTAGCTCAAAGTTTAAGGCCAGGTGAAAAACTTTCAAGACATTGTAAACAGGCAAAGAAGGTAGCAGGATGATATATACAATCATAATTATTTGTGAAAATATAAAGCCCATTTGGACACACACAAACATAAATGGGAAGGTAGCAAAACTATAGGAATGGGATTGGAGGAAAAGGAAGTGTGTGTGTGTGTGTGTGTGTGTGTGTGTGTGTGTGTACAGAAAAAATACATGGAAGAAATGCACTGATAGACATTAGACATAAAGGACACAACTCCATGACTTTTGACCAAGCAAAACACGGAGCATTCCCATCCCCTGATGAGGAGTCACTATTCTAAGTTCTACATACACGGAGTCATTTCACTCCTTCTTGGACTTCATAGACACCATACTACGTATGATCTTTGTGTCTAAAATTTTCCCTGGACACAGAATTATCAGAGTCGTCCATATCTTTTTGCATAGGTCTGTGTACATGTGCTGAGTATAAGCCTATGAGTTTTTGCACGTGGGTGTATGTGCCTGCATATACATGACTGTAAATGCATGCAGAGACCTGAGACTGATTCAGGAGTCTTCCTCAATCACGCTTAGCCTTACTCATTCAGACAGAATCCCTCTTTGAACCCAGAGCTTGCCCACACATATAATATAGCTATCCATGTTGCTCTGAGTGATCCGTGGCTTCTGCCCTTCCAGTGCTGGAATCACAGACAGGCTGCCATGCCCATCCATCATTTACATGAATGCTGGGGATATGAACTAAAATCCATGTGCTTACATGGAAGTGCTTTATCCACTGAGAATCTCCAGTGTGCAAACATGTGTGTGTGTGTGTGTGTGTGTGTGTGTGTGTGTGTGTGTGTGTGTTCATTCCTTTTTATATCAGGTAGCATATGTTATCTGAACATTACCATAGTTCAATTAGTTACTTCTTATTAATGGACAAATTGGACTATCTAAATTATTTTGCCGTTATGAATAAAGTAGCCATAAACTATTTCATGCCAGACTTTTGTGGAAATACACTTTCATTTCTCTTGGATAGACAACCCAATGCATATTTAGCCAGGAATGAAAACTGGCACAGGCCCAGGACAAGCCCATTTCTAGAGTCCATGAATTTGCTTCTTAAGTGTATCTGTATTGCAGTGATTAAACAACATTCTTTAGAAGCAGATTTTCTGGAATGTCATCAGAAGTTTCCCACTTTCTAGTTGGGACAGGTATTTAACCTCTCTGTACCTCAGCTTCTTCACATAGGAAATGGGACTCCTAGTTGTATCTAACTCGAAGGTGATTGTGAGGAGTTGATGAGTTAGTCCAGGCAAAATGCTTAAAACAGACCCCAGAATGTTCATTCTCTGCTTAACTCTCAGCTTACAAGAAAATGTGATCACATCTTGTAAAATACCACACACACACATTTTTAGTGTCTTAGTTCCCATACACAATGAGCTTTGTGACGGCCTCACACAGTGGGCTGTGGAAGATATCACTAGTACTTTCTGATCTCTGTTGAGCTTCACTGATACTCTCTCTGTAACAACTTACACTCCTGGATGGTTATCCTGATAACAACACTGTGGAAAGGTCACTACAAGCATGGGTGAATGAATAAGTTCACTGAGGTCACTCCCCATGTAGATGGCCACACACGCACACAATGGAAACCAACAGTCTATACTACATGCAGAATTTCTGATAAGAAAAGCTTTTACTTTTAACCACTGAGATGATCCCACTTTTGGGGGCCTATAAATAACATTGAGTCCTTTCATAGAGCTATAAATTTGAGAGAGCTCCGATAAATATTCTGAGAATATTCTCACAGCAATTACAAAGGTGTTATATGTTGTAGGCAGGATCATTCCTATTGCAGCTGCTTGAGTTCCCCTGTCCTCCAAGAAAAGATCCATGAAACAAGCCAAGATCTGAGAACTGGGCTGGAGACTGAAGCTGGTCTCTTAGCCTCTGCTCACCTGGCAGCCTTACAAGATCAACTGTTTAGCCACAGGTTTGGTAATAGTCCACTACTGAAGTCCTTGTCAAAACCCATGAGCAGATGCCTAAGCCCACCTCTCCAAACATTCTAACTTGGCTTCTCTCTTCACATTTTCCTCCTCACATGGTGCTCAGGGTTACCTAAGAACCCAGAGACATGGCCATCCTCAGATACAGCACAGAATGTCAACTTGTCTTTAGAAGAAAGCTCATGTCCCTTGACAGGACAGCATGCCACCCCAGAACCACATAATATAGTTAAAGAGAGAAGGCATTGAAGGGAGGGAGGCTCAGATCTGAAAGCTTGAGAAGTGTGACTTCCCAGGGGCCAGCATTCCTCAGCTTTCTGCCTGCTAGCATTATCCTTCTAGAAAACTTCCCTTGGATCAGGTGGTACCAACAGCCAATTCCTAACACAGCTCTGCAGATAGCCGAATGATTCCAGATCAAGTGTATTAAGAAGCAGTACAGGAAGAAGCCCAAGGCCAAGATTACTTGCCATTTTCACATCAAAACATCTTCTGTGAGGCCTATGGCCTTGTCCAAGTTATTTTTCTAGGAAATGGGGGTATTCGATTTCCTAAGACTGAGGCTCTTAAGACAGCAACTGGCGCTCAGTGAGTGCTTTATAAAATCATCCAGGTAACTCTGCTCGCCCTCTTCTGCAGAGCATGTACTCATCTGGTAACCCTCACCCTTGGACTTCCTTCCCACCCAAGCCAGGAAGATTCCGGGAAGGGCTACATAGCAGGAGGTAGTCATGATTCATGAGTGAAAGATCTCTTTCCATAGGCCTTTCACTCCAAGAAGGACCCTGAAGGGCAGCCTTCCTTCATGTACTCTCCTTCATTCTAACACTGCAGAATCCTCCTCCACCAAAAGGCGGTAGAATGCTACCCCAAATATGTATGGAACCCAGTGACTTGGTGATGAAACCAAAGAGAGATGCTGAGAGCTTTTATGGGGAGATCCTGGAGATGGAGAGGGGAGAGAGACAATGTGAGAGCGGCTGCCTCCCATTCCCTCCTCTGGGAACATCGTGGTATTAGTGTCCCACCATAGGCGGGTCAAGCTTATTATTCACCCACTTCAGGACTCAGTGTTTAAGCCGTGGACATAACAAAAGGAGGCTCTCCTGAGCAAGCAGATCACATG